CCCCCCCCCCCCCGCGTTTTATACCGGTGTATCCTCGTAGTTTTGATTATATATCACGATTTGTGTGTTAATTCTAAAGCGGTGACTTCAAACTCGTCCGGCAGTCGAGATATAACGCGCAATAAGATTACCGAGTAAGGGTTGTTAAGTTAACCAGGAATGAGAGAGTGCGCCCGGTTTATACTAAGATTAGCTAAGCCACTATCGCGTTAGCTGTACGATTGCATTATTAAGCTAATATTAAATTTTATCGCTTAATCTTTACAGCGTTAGCTTTGTAGTAAGTCTTAAGGTGTGTCTCGCTTTTTTATGGATATACATGTGTTACTTTTAATCGTGATACTTGATAGTGCCTACAATTGTTTTAAGTAATTAAAAGATAACAATATAAGTAATTAACGTATAAGGTGTCCGTTTAACGCTTTCCAATTGCAAATCCAGTTACAAGATTACGGATGTTCCACGAGTTCTGTTACGATGTTTGGACGAACGAACGAAAAATTTGACTTTGTCTAATCTGACTACTTGTTACCTTTTCTACATTATTGAGTGTTTTTCTGTTTCTTTATGCTTATTAGATGGAAGTAATATCACGAACACAAACAAACGCTGTTATTGAATAAATCAGCTAAGTAAAACTTTTCGATTACTCTAATACTTGACTTATCTGTAAGTCGGTTGCAAAAATTAATATGTTTACGATTCTTTGACGGAAACATTAATTACATTTTAAAGCGATTTTTGCTCGAGACATTTTTCTGGATGCGAAGGACTTCGTCTTTGATAGAAGCAGAATTGAGTTGGGAAGCGTTAAAGGATCGATGAATCGTCGACGTGACGATACTCCGCCGTGTACGTGCGCCGTGAACGGATATAAAGTCGGTGCAAACGAGTTGACCTGTTTTTAGACATCGCTTCGAGCACCCCTTTTTGCAAATTAGTCACGAACTCGCGATTTGAAACTTATTCGAAGGTCCTAAAAGCCGCTGCAACGCACATCGGATCTCTTGGATTTGGCAGAAAATGTGTAACCTCTTTCGAGATCTAGGTCGGTGATGTTAGTTTAGCCCGTTTGCTCTCGAGTTTAAATTACTCTCAGTAAAATTCTGCCTATTCATCCATCTATCCATCCATCCATCCATCCATTCATTCATTCATCCGTCCATCCATCCATCCATTTGTCCTACATTGTATTGTTTCACGAGCAAGATACGTTTACACGGGTTCCATACATTTTCACAACACATTTCTTAACCTGTTTTCCTGATTTCACTTGCAACGGACGACTTCAATCCCCTTCCCTTTCTTGCATCTTCTCCTTTTTATTCCGTCGCCTTATTATCCTCTCTCATTTCTTTTCCTTTGTATCTTCTCTATTTCTTGTCCTTTAGTAGTAACTTTAATATGCCGCCATATGAGGTTCAGATGTTTATAAATCTGAAGAATTTTACAGACGCGATTGTTATCAATTATATATTTCTCTTGTTATTACTATAAATTACTGATCACGATTAAGTTTATCGGATTATATCGTTATATTTTTCATGTTTGGATCAATTCTCCCGTAGAAATTCTCGGCAACAAAAGAATATGTTTTTAGAATAGGAAGCAAGACTGGTTCGATTCGACTTGAAAAATTGTTGAGTTCGATGAAAATAGTTTTTTTAGTCGCTCAACATTTTCCCGCACATTTTAATTCTTTGATATTTTTAAATCTTTCTTTTTAGTATTACGTTCCTCCACTGTGGAATATTCTCTTCAGGTTAAGTCTTGCTAATATTAACTGATTAGTATGGTTCTGTTTCATTCTTTTTTTCAATTTAATAACACGTTGGTTTTTGAAATTTCAACTAGAACAAAATGTAATATGGACGAGACTAATTGTAACTATGTTGTCGTTAGTAACTAAAAGTGAATCGAGTTGATCGAATTATGAAAATGATTTTATTTCGTGTATTCTCTCGTCTAATATTGATTAGACTTGGTTTAAGAAAAGTGCTTCCGATACCTGTTTCCTCCTGATTACTTCCTTCGTTCTCCATTCCAAGTTGGTTTTCAACTAATCCTATCAGTCTTAACTCTTTGCGGTCCTGTGTCATGTCTAAGCAACTTCAGAGGAATCATAAAAATATATTTAATGACTTTTGGGGTAATTGTAATTTCCAAATTTCTACACGAACACATTACATATAATAAATTATAACATTTGATTTACTCTATTTGCAAAAGGTCCGAACGCTCAACTCACTCGAAAATGATATTTTGTGTCTACAGTTATTCGTACATCAGTTCGGATTGCAAAGAGTGAAGCTTCTTTCACTGTTTTCTCACGCTCATCGTTTCCTATCGAGAATCAGTCTCTTGAGTTATCGTAAAATAACACGACCATTGCTCTGTACCACCCTCTCCGATAACGTCCTCGCCACGTCCTGGCACGCAGTACTACGTTCTTTTGTGCGATTCTAACAGGCGCCGGGTACGGAGCTTCAGGCGTTCCTGCTGCACCAGGAACCAACGACAACTATGGCGGTGGTCCCCAAAGGGGTTATACGGGATCTACATCCGGCTCCAATTATCATCCTTATCGCCGCTAAAGGGATAAAACGAAGTCATTTCTCGGCCAATACATCCGGGGTCTCCCTTCGTTTCTTTATTGCTAATGACGCATACATGTGTGTATATACATACATATATATATATGTGTGTATACACACACACACACACACACGCACACTACACACACATGTATACTTACATAATTACAACACACATAGATTATGGATAGCGGTGATAGGGCATGTCCAGTTTACGTACTTTAAGCCTGCGTGGGAAAGATTCGCGAAAGATCACCAGATCTTCAAGACTTCGTGGGATGAGCGAACGGTTGATGGACGAGGTGAGATTGTGGCATTTCCTCGACGTTGTTGTTTGTGGCAAGCTTTTCTCGATTTCGTAAAACAGCACATCCGTTAGCGGAGAGAAAAATTGCAGCTCGCGCGTTGTTGCAACTTTTGCGGAAGAGCAGTTAGAACGTTCAAGGAACGCGCTCGACAACTTTTGCGGATGGGGCAAGTTACGTCGAGTATAAATTTCAACTTTATGTACGACACTTCATTGATTGGTGCCGCTTGTAAAGTCGTGCGTGTATCGCGCTACTTTACAGCAAAGTCAATTGTAGTTGAAATCGTTTTTATAGCATTTGACTTTCTACAACAAAATTTTCAAATACGATTAATATATGTAAAATTTGCATTTATAACAGGAGTTACCTAAAAAAAGAAAAGAGAGAGTAGTATTATATTTGCAATATATATCTATATAATAACAATATCAATATCTTTCTTACGTGGATACGATAGAACTTTAGATTCTTTTTTAATAAAAATTCAACACCAATATTTAAATCGAGGCTTTCTCATTGTAGCCATATTCAATTATAAGCGAGTTCGGAGCGAGAAATCGAATATTTTCTTTTACACTAAGAACGAACAAAATTGCACAGAAAGAAATTGCTTTCTTCATCGCGTTCACTCAATGTGATTTCATAAAAGATATTGAAAGTTTTAATTTATTTTGTGAATTAGCAAATGTCGGTTAACTGTCGTCGAGTTTGTTTTCTCTTAAAAATATGTGGTACAAGTTGACTAGTGTAGGTCAAACTACACGTCCGTTTATTAACTCTTTCACGATATATTTTACCATTCTGTTAGGTACATGCGCATTATTGCACACACTGAACGCGAATAAGCGTGTAAAAGAAAGAAAGAGAGATGATGAAATGGTAAGAAAATGTAATTTATTTCGGTGTGTATTGTATAAGGAAAATTTTTAAGCAATTTCTCGCTTTTAACGTTGTCATTCGTATAGCTACAATTAGAAACTTGTAGCCTCAAAATATCTTAAACTACGATACATCTGTATTGAGAAATAAGTTGCAAAAATTTATCAATGATGTGTCTCATGATTAATGATTTCTACATTATTAAAATATACAAGATCACGTTGCGCAACAACATATGTACAGAAATCTCTGTAGGTAACAACGTCGTTATCGATCACTTGTTCTTCATGATTTCGAAGTGCGCACGTTTATATGTCTCGCGTGTCTGAATTAGTTTTTCAAACGGCTATAAGCGAGGCATGCTGAACGATGAATGCGTATTTAATCATTGACGAAAATCGAGAATACGATCCAGATTCAGCGTACGCGGATTGCTGTTAGACCGCGAGCAAAAGAAGTGATGACTATAAGTTAGTTATAGTTGTAATATTAATCGTAATAAGTATCGTAAGAGCAATAAGGAACATCAAACAGGACAATTGCGCTATAGTAGCCAAGACACTGATGTTAATGCGCAAGAAAATATTTTTTATTTACCGTACAATTTCAAAGATCCCTGAAAGACAATGAGATATATTCTCAGCGTTAATTACCGCGAAATAACCGCGTTAATATATCTCCTTCATAATCTCCGGTCCTCTTATTTTCATTTGATTTCATCCAATGATTGCTTTTTCTTCGTCTTTTTTTTTCGTTTCTTTTCAAAATAACTGTTGCATGCGCAACGACAGCGTTAAGAGGGAAAGTAATAGAAAGGGAGAGAACAAACCTAATGCTTTCCTCTTTTTTCTCTTTTCTTTTATTTCTACCGTAGGAAGTTTATTTCCTAGACGTCCTATTCATTTTATTGACTGGATGATGCGAGGCTTATGGAGTTAAAGTAAAAGAAATTAAGAGGACACGGTTTTAACTATAGGTATCGCATAATAAACGGATTGCGGAGACACAATTTGGATCATTTGATACTCCATCTTGACGTCTTCTCCTTTTCTAAAGATTTATTTCCCTTTAAATTAAATTTATCGCATGGTAGTTGAGCGAACGAAAAAATTCGGTTTGTTTTTGAAATTATTAGTTTTTTTTTTCTACCAATTTATGTCTATATACGAGGAAATTAGCACTGTCGTCTGCGGCTTTTTTTTTACAAGAATAGATTAATACGTTTCTGAAAGAAATGACAACGAGATCTCGATTCTTTTATTCGTTCGTAATTGGCGGTTTTCAAGATATTGAAAATCATATAAGTACAAAAATCCGATAATAAACGAATAAATATTTATATATATTTCAGTTTGAAATTTTAATGCTTTTCGGTAAGCTTTCACTTCGTCGAATCCACATATTTTCGTAAATGTCTTTCTGAGATCCTCTGTATTCATTTCATCGACAGATTGAAAATGCAAGGAAATTATAACAGCGAAGCAAGGCGAAAAAGGTGTTTTGAAGTGAAAAAAAAGTACCATTCAAACGCCAAACATGTTTATTTAAACGACGGTAGTCTGAGGGAGAACAAGTTTAACGATTTAGAGACATTGATTTATTTGATCGTATTTATAGGTATGTACGATTGTAAGATGTATTTGATATTGGATGACTATACCAGTGTGCGTGTAAGTCACGTGCAGTGATCTAAATTTCGGATGCACCTGCGTTCCGGCACACGTACTTTTCGCGATAGAATATGATTTTAGTAGTTTAAAGCGACAACGAAGAAAACGCGCGTTAAACGCATATGTCGTAGTAATATATTAGTAATAGTAGTACTAATATTAATGATTAGGGTTATAATTAAAAATTTTTAGAGGAAGAGTGAGCGAGAAGAAAAGAAAAGGGGGGAGAGAGAGAGAGAAAGAGAGAGAATAATAATCGGTAGAATTGCTATAGATGGTTGGTACCACATCCACATCTCCATTTCTACTATTCGTCACTAATATTATATTACTGTTCATACTATTTTGTTACATACTGCGCATCATAAAGTAATGATAAAATGAATTCTTTTATAGCATAGAGGTCACACAGGATATTTCATATGGACTAATAAAAGATTCACATTTTAATAGAAACCATTTGGGAATCGAGTTTGTCAGTTATTTGCAAACCCCACCATTTTATCAATCGATATTTCCTTTTATTTCAGAGTTTAATCCTGTTCTTTTCCTAACTTTGAAGGAATTATTTAATTTCGTCTGCATAACAATTATAATTCAGATAAAGGTTGCAACAAATAATTAACACGACGATATATAGAATACAACGATTTATTACATCAAGACGAGATATGTACATTTTTGTAAAATCGTACTTTCAGAAAGCAGCTTCGGAAGTCCATGATTTCTTATCAAGCGGTATTTGTCACTATATACGTCGCTTACATACGTATATTATATACATTGTCTTTCGCATTGTTGCTAACCTATATTACTGCTAGCAATTGTCGAAAAATTTAAGAAATCAAATACAGACTTAAATACAAAAATAAATATTTCTGCCTTCAATTCTCTCAGTTGTTTCTCATATATTTTTCTTAGTAATGTAATTTCGACATTATGTAAAATTATATAAACCAAATATATATATAAAGTAGAAAAAAGTGATTTCTCGTTTGGAAATTTATAATTACGAGTGCGACTTTATTTGATTGGAAATTCTATAAATTTCTAATATATAAAATATCACGAAACGTAAAATAAAATTAGATATTATTATTCGAAGTTGATTAAATCTATTTAGACTCGTAGGTTTCAGATATGTGGATTTTTTATGTGTGTGTCTTTCGAAACGAACGGCACGATAAACGTTATCGATTCTGTTATATCGATGCGTTATCGAAATCTAATAATCTAACAATAAACTTTTATCACATCGAAAGCCCTGAAAAATGTACTCTCACATTTACCCTATGCGTTATTATTTATCTCGTAAAGTCCCTATTGCGTCCGATTGTGTACTTTGATTTTACAATTGTACCGCTTTTCCGATCGTTTCTGTACTAAATTTTGTTTCTACGAGTTACCACGACAGTTGCATACGACATTTCTATATAAAATAATCGCGAGGGTAAATGGAATCGTGCTAAACTCGAGTCGTCTAAATTAAGATTAGAGTTTTTTGCTCAGGACGGTTTAGTTTCATACGTATATATTTGTTTAGTATTTTGTTTTAAGTACTTTTCGCACATTACGTCGTTTGTATGTATTTCGAATTTCCAAAATCTTCCTTCACATTCTCCTCTCATCAGGAGTGAAATTATTTATCCGACGGTAGTCTAGCGGAGTGCAATTCATTTCGTGAAAATTTCATTCCTATCGAGCTTTATCATACAATTTTTCTTTTCCTCTTTGACCACTTCCCCGTGTTATCACGCAGAATGCACAGAATAGTTTAAGATCGGCATACTTGGATCATTTATTACTCCTCGGTGTATCAAATTTCAATCATTTACACTGATTGCTAATTTTGAATTTAAGGCTCCCGCAACTGTCTTTGCTTGATGACATCAGAAGCGAGGAAACGTATACCGAGATTCTATCTTGCGGTATACGTTCAAATAAAAAGATATATCCACTAAATAACATTTCTAATCGATTCGGCACGAAATACTCCGAAATAACCGTAAAATTAATATGATATTTCTCCTTTTAATCTCTTTTCTCAATGATTTTGTGTGAATGTTAATTTTAGCCGGAGCCTTAAGAGTTGTTAGTGATTCGTCGCAATGATGAGATATTTATCCTAATATAATTATTATATCGAAAGAGTTGAATATTCGTTTCTATATTCACGAGGATTTTTCTCACAGGTGACTCTCATCCCTCTTCCCCGTAAAACCACTCGAATCATTGGAAAGATTTCGGTAACGTGTGTATGTATATGTGTGTGTGCTCGCTTTGAATCGACAGCTATTTCTGTGTCGTAAATTATAATCGTTGATCGTGCCTCCTCCTCCCCTATAGAAATTGCGGAACATTGCCCATCGTTGGTACAAAAGGTAAGTATGAATTATACAAGATCCATATGTGGCTTCGAGCGTGAATTTGTCGTGAATCTTTGGCCGAGCTTCCCAGAATTTCTCATACTACAATACAGAAAGTTGCCAACGGAACTATTGCGATACAAGTTATAGATCCGTTATATCCTCGTGTACGTATCGGTGCGCGCACGTGGAAACGGATGAGTCGAGTTTGGCACTCGTAGATATTCACGTGATGGAGCATTTGTGACATCGTCGGCCCTTCGATTTCGTCTTGTTGTCCTGATCCATCTGCTTGCGAACGGAATCTGCGAGGAAATATCATTTTTATCTTTTACAAAGTGCATGAAAAATTTATTCTGTCACGCGCGCGAGTGATTAATTAATATGATTCCCGGAATTAAGTGTATGAGACAAACATATAAGGGGAAAGCGAATGCATAATTCTTCGCTTTGCTATAAATAAGATGTTATTTGTGTCGTCCGAATTATCCATTTTCTTTATAAGTTATTTTTGTGTTAAATGTATACAAGAGACGGAGGATCGTTAATATATCGCAACGATATTCAATAACATGCGATGTTTTCAAATGTCATCATCTTGAAAAATATCTCGAGTAACGTTTCAAGCACATTTTTGCAATATACGCGAAGACATTATGATCGAGTAATATTTTTAAGACAAAAATTTACGCTACAACTCCCCCAAAAAATGCACATAAAATGTTCCAATATCATCCCTTATTTATCACGAGGGGACCATCACGACGGTTGTTTTACTTGAAAATGATAAACGTTAAAAGGAGAATTACCTGCAATCGTTTTCTTGTCTACCGCTGACAAAGCTTCGCAGAGCTCTTTCGCCAATGGCACGTCGGGATTTAATCCGGAAGCCCAGATGAGTAACATTCGAAATCCGTGCTCTTTGTAGCTCGAAGGACCTACAATTGGAGCTTTATCGTCCTTTTCATAAGGCTGCTCTAAGTGCACTATAGGAACGTTGAGATACAAATTACGTCTGTGTAAATTAATTGATACGATAGCCTTTTTATCGTCATTTTGTACAAAACGCTGTTATCTCTCTGACATCTTACATTTCTATAACTCGGACGTTTTGTTTGTATCTCGATGGCGTTGTTTGTCACAGCTTCGGACATTTAGCAACGGACAGGAACGCGAATTACCTGTATACTGATGCTCGATGGCTCTGATTTGATCGTGGGTGAAGGCCCAGTGGAGAGCTAATTTCTTCCAATCGTCAGGTGCCAACTGTTTGTAGGCCAGCTTCCAGAGAACGGATCGCACTTGCTCAGACAGACCGCCGTTGTTACTGGATACGCTGCCACCGCGCGAGCCTTCCCTCCATCGTTTTCGCGCTGGAGTTAATTCTCGAGCCTCCTTGTCGGAATTCGAAATCTCCTAAGATTTCCAAGCACTCGGTCACATACGGTCGAAACTTAGCACCGGGAGGCCGAGTCCGGTTGTCACACTTTTTACGCATTGATTCAAAGAGAAAGCCATAATATTGTGTACATTATAATGTAGCTACGTACGAGAGAAACAATCTTAAAAAGTTATTTATTTGTAAACAAGACCACGCAAATGTGACATCTCTTCCAGACCCGGTCTCCTCGATTTATCGCCACCTCGTGCAAAATTTCGACTCTTCGAAAGAATTTTTATTAACGAAGAGAGACTCGTTTCGGAAACGATTTCATCGAATTTTGCGGATATATCATACTGAGTAACCGAAAACAAAAGAGATTTTCAATGATTTCCTTTTATTTTGGTAAGTGCTTTCTCGCATATTATTTGCGAAGCGCAATTGTTTCTTAGTTATGAGCGTATATCTTGAAATGTTTCGATTAGATTGTGATTTTTCAAAGGCACGGTCCGTCGAATGTCGTAGAATGCGAAATGCTCTCACACAGGTGTACCTACCAGGGTCGGATAATCCAATCTCGCGGTTTTAATGATCATGTCGACGATGGCCGTGAAACTGCCCCTCGCCGCTATGTAAAGTGGTGTCCGGCCGCTCTGCAAATGTCGGGATAACTTTGGTTTAACTTCATTATCGAGTTTACGACCGCCATGATCTCCCGTTAACCGCAGTGTGCGAGATTAAAGTGTACGACTTTTCTGTAAATAGATCGCGCGTATCAATTCTCTACCGACATGATCAAACCGTGTCGTGTGACCTTCCTTCAGGATGCGCTCATCGGGATTATTAGGTGTCATATCGGAGCTGCGTATCATGAAAATAAAGCACTTTTTACGATGAAGAAGGATAAATTACATTTATAGTATTTACCGAGACTTAATACATCACCCGAAAGTTGGAATCTGAGCGCTTTAAAATACTCATTCCATTTCTACTTGTTCGTTCCGTCAGATATTAATTTCGCCAATGTCTTCATAATTACATCCCGCGAATATCATTAGCTTTATTCGTTTTTGTGTGAAACAAGGACGATTGGATTTAAAGCAATACGGAACGTTTCGATTAAGGCGAATCCGCTAACTACAGTCAAATAATCAAGTCAGAGGTTACATACACGCTGTATTTTTTCGACGTTATTATTATACCACCTGGTTGGCCATAAATCGTTATTCCGTTTTTATCACTTTGATTCCCTCGGATATTTAATTGGATTCCCTTTTTAATTAGACTCTCCCTTTAATTAACCGGCGTCGCGGGTTACAAGTTTGTTCGTTTATTGTAAGCAAACTGAATAAATAACTTACGGGCAGGTTTTAATTAGTTATCGAATAACTCGAGCTTAATTATATCGTAATTTGATCGTAGAGCTTAATAAAACGATTTGACTCGAAGTGTCAGTAATAGCAGAGCATCGATAAATTAGTCAGAATTGAATTAATAATCATTTACCTGTTCCTTCTGCTCGATATTTGCACCTGCTGCAAGAAGTAATTCGCAGATGTCCGTATGTCCCATCTCGGCCGCGATGTGAATAGGCGATTGCAGTCTCTAAAAACGAAACGTCGAAATATGAAATCGATAATTTCATTAACAAAAAATTCTCCGAATGTTCCTCGAGTACGAACAGGAAAAGAAAGTTTTGACGGAAAATGCATTACGTGAAATTCTAATTTCAGCCTGAGTAAATCGATAACATTTTCTCTCGCACTATACGTAATCTGTCTTGTATCGATGAGGTATAGATGTAAACTATACATACCAAATTTAAACAATTAAGATCGACGCCTTTGTTAATTAATATCTCTACCGTGTCTACTTCGTTGTTCTGGCAGGCCAGATGCAAAGGTGTATTGCCGTTCTGCAAGTAGATAATTAAAATATAACCCGTGCGGGTGATATAAATGCATCGACGTTATGCGTCGCGACATTGATTATATATAGAGAAATTCCGAGATGTACACCTTGCATTGCTTGTTAAGATCAGCCCCGTGCTGAATCATAGAGTCAAGTATTCCTTTGCATCCCTGACTCGCGGCAACGTGAAGGGGAGCGAAGCCCACCTGAAGAGATAGTCGGTTAACTCGACGCGAATATCGGGCCTTTCTAACAATACGGAGGAATTTTATTTGTTCAAACTAACTACGATATGAGAATCCCCCAGAACAAGTGGAGATTGCAATAATTCATTCGTTCCAATAACAGCATCTTTCCTAATGGATGCCGCAAAAATTATTCGATTTACCGCATCGGTGAGCTCGGTGTTCGCTCGAGCCTTTAGTAACAATTGCGCAATCCCTGTGTGTCTAGTCCTGGTGGCCACGTGAAGCGGGGTATTACCGTCGTTATCCTGGGCGTCTACGTTCGCACCTAATCCTATAAGGACCTCGACGGCCTCCAGGTGCTCCTCGGCACAGGCGCAATGCATCGGCGTCTGTCCCTTCTGGAAAACAATTCGGAAAATGACGACGATGTTTTCATTCATCGGTTGTACTTTTTTCTAACACGACCGGAATGCAACGCGAAGTACGTGCGCGCGACGAGATTAGAATTCGGTGCCAGGAGAATCGAAAAAGTCGAGGGAGAGGTGAGAGTTTGTTTACGCGGCCTTCCTCGGGGGATTTCGCTGATACGGAGGCGCGCTATAGCAACTTGCAGCAGAAAGATGGAGGATTCAGCGGCGGACATACAGCTACGGAAATCGGTTCCTCTCATCTCCCCCCCCCCCCCCCCCCCCNATTATAAATTCCCCCCTTTTGTGTCTTCGGCGATCGATAGCGCCGCACCATGGAGGAGTCGCCGTTATGCCCGAACAATCGCTGATGCGTTTTCGCTGTTTCGGGTCGCTCGTTTCACGAGCGGGGGAAGAAGGGGAATGCCGGTCGTATTTAATATATTAGGCTATAATTTATACCGAGAAGCGGATAAAGCCTGCGCTGTTAAATTAATCGCTGCGGTGCGATTATTGTTTCTTTTCAGAAATTTGGAATTCCAGGGTATTCTTTCGATTCTTATATCGTCGGTGTCCCAAAGTATCATCGATTTCTTTTCTTTTAGTTTATGGAAAAAACTCTCTCGTTGGAGAATCGCCTCCACGGCTTACAAAAGCTCCTCCGCTCGAAGCCAATATGGCGCATGTCCCTGGGGGTAAACGCGGAAACGTTACGTGTATATATTTCGTGTATTGAGGAGCAGCTTGTGAAACGTCCCAGAGAATACCCGCATCACGTCAAAGCTGATCCCGGATAGTTGACAGATGCGAGAAACTTCTTGTTTTGATTGATCGAAGAAGTTATATCGCTAAAACCGCTCTCAAGTAAGAGGCGTGTCTCCTTTGTTTTTGAAAAATCCGCCTGTCAGATACGGCCTTTGCTCGGCCCGTTCACACAATTTGAAGATATTTTGTACTTTTACGGCGGTCGAAACTTGTGTTTATTTAACGCTGCGTTATAAGCATTGACAAGCACAAAATAGGAGAAATTGAACCAAATTTCCGAAGGAAGCGACAGGTTTATTCGTATCACCTTAAGCGATCCTTCAATAGCTGTTTTTTCTCTCTTGTAAAGGAAGGTATTAGTGTGACACAAAGAGATTCCTACGGAAATGTTGAAAAAATCCGACACTCACTTCGCGAGTGGCAGTGAATTATGCAGTTATATATGAGATTGTATTTAATGCTGATGTTAAATGCGAGAGACGGTGTAACGTAATGTGAAATATATCTCATTTTAATACATGCATATTGATAATAAATTAACAAGAAATGGGGTATAAATTCATATTACGTATTTATTCGTGACGAGACTGTATCAGCACTGATGATAATTTGCTTAATGTAATTTATCATTCTCTGCTTGAAACGCGGTTACAATTACATTGGAGATGTCCACTCATCCGGATATTTCAAACTATCTTGATGAAAAAGGAAAAAGCGTCGCAAAGTTGAATTGTTGAGAATATTGTTCCGGACAATTGCTCCGCACGAAAGACAGGAAATCATGCATAATTTATGCATGCAGATATTTGCCGAGAGACACGAGATTGCACGAATGAATTTTCCGCGAGTTTACGCGCGGAAGTAGTCGGTTTGTGATTGGCGGTGGGATACTACACACGAGCGAAGTTCGGCCAACGAAGATGCTAATGAACGGACGGATATCCCTTGAGATACCGAGTGAAATGATGGGAATCAGATTTCCGGGTGTGGAATATCTCGTTACGAAATTCGAGAGCCCGAAACATGACCATATTGTGCGAGAAGCGAATTTCGGAATATTCACAAGGTCCGGATATGTTTGCAGCAAGACAAGTCCGTATTGTTCGCCCATTATAATGTACGTAGGAAAAAAAATCAACGTTTATTGTCGTACACACACGGTTTACGGAACGTATATCATTTTTAACGGTTGCAGGTAACTCGGTTATACAGAGAGAGATATAAGTCAAAAAGAGACCGGTTTATTAACAATGAAATGGCAGAGTTCTTGCGGCGTTCAGAATTTTTCTCCAAAATATCAATTTTCACATATTATTATATATAGAAGCTCATTGCAACCGTTGCGATCGAGAAACAGCGTATGAAAAGGATCGAGTTATATATTACGCGCGCGTATTGATATAACGAGGCGAAAGAACATCCCCGCTTACCTTGTCCGTCGCGTCGAGTACGATCCGTGGTATGTTAGACAGCGCCGTTACAACTGCGGGATGCCCCGCAACAGCTGCGTGGTGAAGCGCAGTTGCACCGGTGCAGTCGACGGCTTCACCGTTTAACGATTCCACAGCTTCCGCGAGGTATTCCACCACGCCTACGTTGCTGCCACGAGCACCACACATTAAGAGGGTGTGTTGTTTCTAGAAGAGATCGAAGAGAGGGAAGCAGAAAGAAAAAAAACCGATGCCAGTATCAATGTTGACGCGATTATCGATTTCTTTCCCCCGCGAGAGATTTCAGTTTCGATATATTTCCTCTCTCCGCGATCGATAAGTTCCAATTAAATGCACGACCATTTAATCTCGCGCAACTGTGTCTCGCGCAAGTTTCCGTCGAGCCGAAGAATTATGCTTAAAGAGAGATCGGTTCTTTCGGATAGCATCGTCGCGACGGTTTTACGCAAATTTCAATTCGAACGGCTTGAATATAGAGATGAAACAATTGTTAGAGGATGATCGGTGTACCTTGTTAATCGCGGATACGTTCGCTCCGGCGTTTATCAACATCTTCACCGCGTCTCGGTGTCCGTGTTGAGCGGCCATATGTAAAGGGCGCATTCCGTACTTGAAAGAGAAACGCACAGCTCGAGAATTCATGTTCGACGTGGAATTTCATCAAGACGGTAGGTAGGTTAGTCGCTACTATCCTTAACTCTCAATTAAGAGATTACGCGGACTCCGGCTTAAAAGGCGCGCGACATTCATTTCTAATTGATTCCATACCTTATCTTTCGCTTCGATATCGCATTTGGCTTGTATCAACATTTCGATAATTTCCGTGTTTCCTCTGGATGCAGCCCAGTGAATCGGAGCACGGCCATACTGCACGGACAATTTTCAATATATTTGCTCTTTCTATCAATTTAAGCGATTTCTCTCACTGACTTACGTTATTTCTGGAATCTACGTCGACAGTCTCCTTAAGTACTTTGCGAACGGTGTCCGCTTCGTTCTTTATCACAGCCTCGTGTAGGAGAAGATCATTCTTAAGAACTGGCGGGGAAAAGATACATTATGTAAAGCAATTGTATGTAGATTCAGCTGATTGTTTTGTTAAAATATCCCGTCATATTAGACGTATCCAAAATAAGTGAAATTTCATTTAACAGATATATGTAATAAGTATTTTTAGATACTCACTTTTTCAATCGCTTTGCGCGCCTATGAAAATAGAATTTCGAACGGAAAAAATATGGACTGCATTAATTTGTTTCGGGGGCTGGGCGTTTTAACTCCCGACGTCATAGCGTACACGTGCTGTCGTTACCGCCGCACATGGTTTTTTATAATTTCGGGCCGCGCTGTATCGATCGCGCGTGCAATTCGAGGCGGAAGGAAGGACGGTTGGGACGAGTGTATCGTTAATTACTTGAATGGCTAATTTTGCGAATGTTGACGCAAATTGAACATTTTTCGCGCGACCGCACTTTAAAAGCCCGCGCAGAGAAGCTCTTTACGAGCGGAACAGACAAAAAATTTCAACCGCAGGGAGGTAGTGTAATTCGCAATTTTTCTTGTTTTTCTTCTTTCGGGATAAAGAGTTACAGGAGATATGTTGCTGTTTTACAAGAATCGGCTGATATGAAAAATCTGATTTGGAGAAATCTGGAGAAATTAACGATCCGGTAGAAATCTCACCGCCGCGCCCTGTACGCGTGTACTCGGAATCTTGAAATTTTCGCATCTCTATACTCACTTCTAGCAGTCTTTTGGTTCAGTACTTCATCCTCGATTGCCTCGCTGAGGTTCAACGGCGGCGGGGTCCTCGCCTTCGTTATGTTCAACTCTTTTTTGTCCACCATCTTTCACTGCAGTTGTCCCGAGCGTTGCATTGTCATCGGGTCCTCTCTCGGTCGTTAGGTCGCGACGCACCGACTATTAATTAATGACGACCTAGAACGAGTGGCGCGGTACAATAGAAATCGTTAGGTCACCTATGGCTTCCTGAACTTGTCGATTCACTAGATTCACGAGAAGCTAAAATAGAGTGTGATGATTGATTCGCCGTTATCGACAATATTGCGTATCACCAATTCTGATCTATTTAGCAATTATCAGGGACGGTAGCTATTTGTCGCATCAATTGAAGCCCCTCTATTGGGAGGAGAGAGAGAGAGACTTGCATGCATTTTCTGATGAAAATGAAAATATTCCGGACAATGTGCTATTAACGTTTCAAAAAAGAAACATTCAGTGCTCTTTTCTTCTCATTGCACTCGGTACCATTCGTTTCCCCAAAGCAAATAACGTAGCTTGATATGTATCGCGCTGCGTCCTACATTTTGTCAGAGTGCATTTTCAGCACTTGCACCGTTTCGTTAATAATACAATAACATGGTTATTGTATTCGTTGTATCGTTACTAATACAATAACGATGTTTCCTGATCATCCGCTGCAGCGTTTATCCCGCCTGGGAAGTAAACGCAGGTTTCACAGAAAATTGAATAAAACATCGTAAATTACTGTCGCGGGAGAGCATAGTAATAACGTGCTTTACTGTCGCAAGTGCAGCTGTACTATTAGCAAAAGAGAGGTAGGTGCAACATCTTTAGCGAATGCAGTCGTAAATCTTGATCGTCGTCACCCGCGTTGCCTCGTAATATATATCGTATACCTTCACCCATTTTTCATATTTTTCTGTCGACATTTTTCTCCGAGGAATCACAGGCAGCGCGAGCTCGCTTTTAAAGAAAATTTCACACTTCCTCGCCTCCGGAGGGATATACTCCTCGAAACTTACCGACGTTTTTGTCTTATTGGGTCTTTCTATCCCGCTACGTCTAAAATCTCGCTGCTGCATTTATCCAGTTTCCATTAGAAAAGCGTAACGCATAGAATATTCTCTGTAACACGAGGGATAATAATAAGAGTCGAAGTCGCTCTCTCGGAGAAAGAAACGAAAAAAGGGGATAGCATTTTACGAGATTGCAATTTTGCATTGTGTAAAGTCACCTCTTTGCGCGCGTAATCGTGTCATCTTGTATTGTACTTATTTATATAGTTCGTAAAGTTCACTTGAAATAATGGCGTGCCCGAAGTGGATCTTATGAATTACCGGCTTGTTCACCAAAGTTTCTGCTCTGGATATCTTATTGGACGAGAACTGAGGCAAACGCGCAGAAAAATTACTCCTACGTATAATAATCGGTGTTAGCAGATGGATGTTACGAGAATGTCATACGAATTTTACGGCGAAGTCTCGGGGAAAACACGCAGCGTGGCGATCGAAACACTTAATAAGCGGCCGATGACAGGTGCGCAAATGGATTTCGAGGGGCGTTTTGTACAGGGTGTTCTCCCGATACAATCCATCGACGATATTCGCGGTAAGATTTTGTTGCGGATCTGAATGTCACGGTCGGCTACAATGTGCCGAAATTGAAGATGAAGCGAAGATAATCGATCGTTATTAATTCATTCATTGCTTCTCGCAAATTTACATCATTTCAGAGATAAGAGCGAACCAGATGATATTGACGTCAATTAAATCATGATTTAGTTTTTTGTAAATGTGATAAGTTTCAAATATAAACAGCTTAGTGAAACTTCTATTAATAGCGTACAGTAGTAGTATATTTTCAATTCAATGTTTAATCATCTATTATTAAATATTATATTACGTAATTATTCTGATAAATATAACGATGCGTTTTTTTTAAATATTTTTTACATACACCGCGTTCCCGTCAATAAGAGGAAATAAATGAACTTTCGCAAGAATCCTTTCTGATTCAATGCGATAAATATTATGATACTTGATCCGGTAAAACGGATGAATGCGATTGATGCGATACTCGAATTTCTGCCGTATTGATTGGCGCACTTAATCGAGAATGCGGCTTTAGTCATGCACGCGGATGACGATTTGATGAATATAATCCGTTTAAATGAAGCGCGCATTACACTCTATTAGGTAGTAGGTCAATCGAGAAATTACGTATTCTTTTGGTGAAATAGCAGATTGATCGTGGTGAATGCTGAGCTACGGGCATGATTGCAGCGAAGATGAGAAAGTTCGCGTGTGTACGTCGCTTTAAAGATCCTAATAAAAAGGTCAATCCGTCATTGAGTTTGAAAGGCGATCTCCTCTCCTGTGTAAATAATTGTCCCCCAGCTTCTGTGGATTTAATTACGACGCTCAAGTCGTCCGTCTTATGGTGGTAGCATAGTTTCCCAGAGCAGAGCTCAGAAACTCGTTCATGCTTTCCCGATAATTCAAGCCCTCTGTTGAACGCAGAACTTTCGACGAACCTACCAAGTAGCTGAATATCGGCGCGAAGATATATCAAGCATCCGCAGAATTTCTAGTGGGGGGCTGTCTCTTGTAAAAATATATGCAAAGTCACTCGAGCGATCGTCTCTTTCATTGAACTTTAATCGGCTGAAACTCCGTTAAAGTAAAAATTCAATTACGAGTAGAAGTTAAAATAAAGTCAGGTTCAAAGAGAGAGAGAAAGGATTCGGTCGTCTTGATGTATACGCGATCTTTAACTCGGTTATTTCTCAATTATCCTCTTAAGCTTGCCAAAAAAGATTAGAAACTAGACTGCCATACGTTTACACACGATACATCATATATTTCTCTTTCACCACATTTGAAGAATGCTACGTAATCGACACCTAAACCAAAACGTGTTTCGAAAGAAAATCATTTCAGTCAATCAACAAAGTTCTTTGCCGTTCAATCAATTAGAAAAAAATATGGGTCAATTTGTTTGTTTACATATTCGAGCTTTAACCAATCGTAAATTCGCGTAGTGTCGGCTTCGATCGTTTTTTCGCGCGCGCACGTCGTCGATTATCGATGTAAACCGGTGGGACGGGTGAAATGTAAGCCTCGACCTCGCAACAAATCATCCGCATACGAGGGGCCGCACGGATAACGCGCGTATATATTCTACACGCGGCCCTTAAATTATTTTAACACGCCACCGCTATTATATTTCTGCTTATTGGCACTGCAAACTCGTATTCATGTAAGTTTCCGACTTTCGCGAAAGAAAATCATTACTACCGATGAGACTAGATACGTCGAGCTAGGTGATTTTCGTGCCTCCACCGCTTGAAATAACAGTGCTCGCGGCGTATCGAAATTAATCCGTTCAACCCGTATTTTTACGGAAACTTTAACGGCCCGACTTTACGAATACGTTGATGTTAGCTTTCGTTCTCTCTCTGGAGCTGTTACGAGCGGCTTTGGCAAATCTCTTAAAGGATTTTAACTAATTGTTAACTTTACCGTCTCCCTCATTATTCGATAACAGCGAGGAATAACGCAACGTACTAAAATAGCGGTAAAAACGTTTGCGTTCGATTTCGAATTAAAGAATCAGTTAAATCCCGGTTAACCTCGGAATGGTTTGCGAAGAAGTGCTTACATTTGTCACCAATCCCTTGAAAACCTTTCTCCGACTCGTGGCGTACGAGCGTTTGAAAGTAAATCCCAGCCATCTCACGTAGAGACACAATATGTTAAGTTAATCAGCGCAATCTGAGCGCTTCATATGCGAGAATATTTGTGAGAAACCCCTCCACCATCCGGCAACTTCCACATGTTCTTTTCTCCTCGATTAGACTTCAATTGGATCATTATCGTACAAAAGTATTCCGCCAACGTATAAATAAACGACGTGAGCCTTGCTATGTATATTTATCGTGTCGAATTTTCTCTCATAGACCGTTTTTACTTATATGCGAAAAATTTCCGAATTTTCGTTCATGATTTTATTAACGTGACAATTTCTTTGAGAGCTCGGAAAGTGTAATTCCTCTTAAACGGAATTTCCCTAGAGAGTACTCTCCGTTATTGTCTTTCTGATATTCAACATTTAATATTTTGACAAGTATATAGCTAGTTACACAGTTTAACATGAAAAATATGAACTTATTTGCATTCTAAAAGCTGAATTTACTGCTGGTAAAGATCTTTCAGATCTTCAATCGGTTATCACTCCAATACCGACTTGTATATCATTTGAACACGAGCCTATTGTACGTTGATTGAAAAATCTTGTATTGAGATACAGCGTTCTGTATATACTCCCCAAATCCCGTTTACTAAAATTTTTAATTTTATTTCTTTTTTTTCATCAAGTTTCAGTATAGTTCGCGAAAACTGAATATACGCCGAATAACGGAGAGACATCCGTTTGAGTTCCTATTCATTCTCCAATTAACGTAATATTTCGCACGAAAGGATATTTTCGAGGTGCAAAAATATTCGATTCAAATGCACGTCACACAAACTGCACTCCAGACCTTCCGGGTAACGAATCGGTGAAACGTTCACTCACGTCGCTTTGTTCTCGTTGCGGCGAGCCACCCTCTTGGATTTTCGGTCACTGGTACAACGAGGCTGCGAAATCAGGTGCGGAACGATTCTTCCGCCACGAAGGCTCACCCAAGGTTCACACTACAACGGGCGGCATGCTACTGGCCGAATCGTCCCCGTTTCGCCTTGCGAGGCACCCCCATTATTAGGTCGACGGCAGCGCAGCCACGTGGAGGGTTGGACCACTATCAGAGGCGCACCCGCTATAGTTGATTTGGACTTGTCGATTTGAAAACTGTCTTGGGATTGCGACGCGTCCATTTTTATTTCTCTTATTGCGAGCGTGATATTAAGCCACGTTTATAACAGCACGATGCGGGATTCCGAGCTGTTCTCGTGCGAATTTCCGCGATATGCTTTTACAATCAATTAAATATCCTAGTGCTTTCTAATGTATTCGGTAATCTTGACCCACCTCTCACTTTTTTACTACTCGTACTTTCGTTTCTCCGCTCGCCGTGTAATAACGTCGGCTGTATGTTTAATAATAATTACGAGGAGAATTACATTTTTCGTCGGATAATCTTTGTAATTAAATTACAACACGGGAAAGGGATGTTTTGGGTCGAAGCGCGAGACAAAAAATAGGACAGTACGGTTATTCTCGATGGAAAAAACGAGGATACTTTATTTTTTTGTTCACGAGAAAATAAAAGCGCACGTCGATGTATTAATAATATTCGCACTTTTCCGCATGGCTCATTTATACCCGCACGATTTATGATATATATCTCGATTGCGTTATCAAGCTGCTGTTCTACGCTGATAAATACAGTGATTTTACAAAATACGTAGAAAGTCGGCGATGACGTTGGAAAAGGTCAAGGGGATCTTTTTTCGACATTAAAACGATACGTGTAGGCGACGACAATTCTTCTTATTCGCGACCAATCGATGTGAAATGCAATCATGTCGCTGCTATTTTGCAGCGAAATTTCTGCTCGAGGTTATTACCGACGTTGACCGTGTCTCGTTGGTTTTTCGATCACTAAGCGAAACTTTACAGTAACGCAAATGTAAACTACATAAACAGCATCGATCGTCTCGCATGTTTGTGGAATGGTTTGCGCGTATTTTGTTTCGGCCAGTTTTTCTTCTCGACTCTGTTACCCGTCGACGGACGCAAGCTAAATATTTAGATTTGGCGACGGACGAAATCATTTTAATTGAAGATCATCACTCGGAGCAGTTTTTTTAACAGACAGCAACGCGATCGTTTAATAATAGTGTTTCGCGCTATATTTTCTATCGCTGTAATAATCACAGTAATTGTCCGAATTGTGCGTTCATTAATTTAACAACACGACTAGAATATTAGATATCGTAGTTTCAGTAGCTTCTGCAACCAATATTCCTCCAAAACGTTATTAATCGTCGACGATTGTTTGTTCATGCTTTGTTCGTATTCATCCCGCGCGGAATTTGTTGCAATCGGCTCGATCACGCCGTACTGAAACAGAGATAATGCTAAGAAAACGATGGACTTATGAAAGTGTAGAAAGAAACACTTACGGTTTTACGTATGCGATTGTAGTCCTCGTTGTAAATTCTCGGGCCTTTTCTACGATAATCGGGTCTTTGCGCGGTGCCGTGTAAAATCAGCGTAAATGCCCCAATGGTGCCGTTATTCTGCACCGGACCTATCTGAAAGCAAATATACACGTGTGACAGTTGTAAGTAACTGATGTATGGATCATGACTGCAGAGAAGTAATTTGAACCGATCAATATTCCAATCGCGTTAAACATTTCGGAAATTCTTAGGCGCGCAATTACTAATTTGGCGGAATCGAGGAGTTTCACGACGCCTCTCTCTTTCTCGAGAAGAAGATCAAATCTAAAAATTTTTATTTATATGCAAAACATCTCATAAACAAGGAAATTTATTCATGCAAACATCGTTATATCGGACCTTTGAAATTCATGAGGTGTAATTTAAGATGTTCTATTGAAAAATCGAGTGTCTCATAAACGAGTATATCTCGAGTATATATTTTGTTTATTAATTCGTCATAAGAAACATTATAACCCTTTTTATAACCAAGACCAGTTGAAGCATAATAAATCGATCGGGGAGGAGTTCGAGAATGTTTTTAAAGTCTCACTTCGTCAAATATGTCCAAGGTCCACGTTCCTCGGGGATCTTCACCCCACGTCGCGACGGACATGAATTTCCACTTCGCAAAACCAGCGTCGGAATTATCCAGCTTTCTTGGACTCAAGATCTGGATTGAGGTCCCTGGAAAGCAAAACGTGCAAATTTTGTTGGTAGAATTTACGAATGTGGCGGACTCGCATATGGGTCACACGAGCGAACGTAATTTTCAGGATGTGTCGTAATGCGTTTTGTCTTCCTTCTTCATTATATTGTATTTGCATTATACTCCGAAACAAATTAGTCTTCTCTTTGCACCACTCATGTTCAATAGTATAGATTGCTGAAATATATCGAAAATTCTCTCTTTTGTTCGCGAATTGATCAAAAAAACTAACATCTCCATGTCATTTCGGTCAACTGTCATGAGATCTATTTTTGTTAAACATATATGTGATGTGCAAATATAGATGAAATTATAGCCTATTTGTTAAGCAACAGTAGTAGGTAAGGTATTCTACATCGTTGTATAATGTTGCCGAGCGTGAATGATGAAATACACCAGATATACAAGATAGGCCAGTGCAAGTCAAAGGCGCGAACGGTAGTGCGTGATTTACGTACGCGGGAGGATAATAATATTTGACTGGTATACGAGATACGTGTATTTTCCGAGCTTCCGATGTTTTTCGTAGTGACACGTAAATCACCCCCTTTACCCTCGTTAAACCGACCCTTTGGTATATTTATGGGACTGAAGGGTAGGTTTGACGAGGGGTCAACTTTCATACAAGTTTCATACAAGTCCGAAAAATATCGGATGTCGCGTCAAACATTATTATCTTCCCGCTGATTCGCATCCGTATACTGGATGCGACTCTCGCGCGTATGAAAATATTCAAAAATGAACTGATGCGGCTACAATGAGGGATCCTATTAGATAGCTTTTTCACGATAATAACGTTGTCGTTACGCGTCGTTGCGCAAGCATAACATATCGTGTAACAGCTGCGCGGCGACGCGTAACGACTTGTCATTAAAAATTACAACATAAATGTTCCGGGGACTTAAAGGGAGCGATATAGTGTCATGTCGAATGACGTTAAAGCGTCAACTTACAGTTATTTTTTATGTGTAAAGTATGCACATACACGTATTCTGGCTAGTTTAAATTATACAATCCGTTTCGCGTAACACGCGAATATTAATTACTTCGTTGCGTGTGGACGTTATCGATTTTTTTGTTTCTTTCGCAAGCGTGCGTATGTCGGAGTTTCGAATAATATATTACGACGCGTACGACCAAGACCAAAATCTTGCACAATATTTAACAACGACTTTAAACATTAAATACTGCTGTGCCAATTCTTTCTCTTTTTTTTTCTGCATAAAAATATAAATGGACGATTTCAAATTCTTTCGTTTAATTTATTGATTTAAAAAATATAAATCAACACTTACATACATATTTATTGATATTTATTGATATTAAAAAATATAACCCAATACTTACATACACAGAGAAGTAGCGTAACCAATAAAACATGTAAACAACAACATAGCCGAATATAAATAGTAGGTATTTTTTACTCGAGACTGACAGTTATTCAAAACTGCTCCGTTCTCTAAATTGTACTTCAAACAAAAATATTCCTAAAAATTGCGACACGATATCGATCGTCTTTTTTTTTAGCGAAAAGAGTGCTTTGAAAAGCCGAAATATTTCCAGTGAAATCTGCGAGCGAAAACAAGAAAGGATAAATTTCAAAGCTGCAGTATTGTTTCATCAGATGCACTCTTGGACGCTTTTACACCATTCTTCCCTCCCCCCTTCAGGTTCCAATATATTTCTTCCGATATCCCGATGTGAGTAACGTCGTCTGTCAATAATAACGTCAATCGGCAAACGTGCGCGGAATTAAATAACGCAAGGCATTGGCCAAAGTGACGATTGCAATCCATTCGTTCGTGTCTAAATCAATGTTTTATTCTGCGTGAAATTGCAGTTTTTCTTCCGTTTGACATATTGCATATTCAAAAAGTATTTGAAAAACATATACACTAATAATAGTGACGCGCAACAATTGTTTTTTTTTTTTTTTAACGAACGAACCCGGCTTACGTCGTTCTTCTTCGGATAAACAAGCCGCATCGTCAAGTGGTGTCGAATTGAATTTTTATCTTTCTATAAATTGAAGCGAGTACGCGAATTTGCGCAGTTAAACACATTTGCATTTAGTCTTCGACAATTTCCGCGAAAGCGATATAATTATAAAACATTTTCCTTGCGTGGTATTTTCTGCGGTCTCTGAAATACTGTGGCTCAAAACGTAAAATGGCCCGTTCCACCACCATTGTGGTTATTCCCTCGTCTTTCCAACCTTTTCACTTCTGCAAGCTTAACACAAATGAAGATTGGCAGCGCGTTTCCAGAGGTGCATTTAAATGTTGTATAACCGAGCGCACCACCGCTCAAGAAGATCGCGCGACCTATTTGTGTGTCAAGCTTCTGTTAATAACGTCGCTTTTATATTTGTTTACTCGCGCGTCGGAAAATCAGGGATATAGTCGGGAGAATTGGTTACTTCGTAACACTCGGCAACTTATTTATCAAGTGACGCACGTCATGAGGATGACTTTGGGCGGATGATAAATGGGCCGAAAAAGTGAAAAATGTATACCCGAGGGTGCGGCGAGATGCATCTGCAACGCCCCGCGACGAGAGTATTCGAGATTCGCCTCGATCTCCACGTGCTCCAGGAAGATTATCTCGCTTCCCGATGTCCGGCAAACGTCGCCGACGTCGAATTGGAGTTTCTTCGAATTTCCATAAACCAGTCTGATATCGGTGCTACAACAACGATGTATCGTGTGTTTACGCGTGTGCACGGATTCGAAAATACGCGTTTCCTGAAACGTCGGGGCTGTCATGCATCCTTGAAATATCGATAACTCGCGCGAAGGACCGAGAGAGCTCCAATATATATATATATATTGAAATTTATGGGAAATCATTCTTTACGTTAAACACAGTTTCCATCTTTATTCGGTGAAAAATCATTTTCTCCTATTTCTGTTTTTCATATCTACAAATATTCATTTCGTTTCTCGCATTTAGATATTTGTTTCCCGAAACGCGCGCGAATGTAATTGCGATGAAATTTTAAGGCAATAGAATCACGATGATATCGTAGAACGCACGCGAGGAAACGAATTAATAAAGCCGTTTTTATGAGTATTTTATTACTTTTATAGAGAAGGATTATTGTAATCGTCCGGACAGCTCTTAGCGCAAAGCGTAATAACACGGGTATAAAGCCAGCCGAATTCACAAAGTACTTAAATTATACAGACTGAGGGGATAACTCGCAATGAGATTATTGCGCATTTCCGACCGGAAATTCTTTGAATCGGTCGCGAGCGCTGCGAGAGGGAGGGAGAGAAGGATGATTCGAACTATACCAAGAATTCCATTCGTTTTCTAGAATGCCGGATAAATTACACCGTCAGAAACGTATTTCGGAAAAACTCTCGGACAATTTTCTCGCTTGCGTGTCGAATGAATCTTTTACCGTGTTGAATTCAACGATGCGTTCTTTATCTCGCGCTTCTTTCTCGAAGAATCCGGAAATACCTCTAGACAAAAGGAGGTTATCGATTGGTCCGGATTGTCAGAAACAGGGTTAAGTAGGGATCATCGGCTTTTTCGGGCGCGCGGATTGCGCTCGGTTTTTAATTTTATGCGTTGCCTGTAGCAAACACCTGATTGTTCTGAATTGTTCTGACCCTTTACGGGCTCCTCACTTTTCTCGTGTATTAAACATATTAAATATATTCAATTCTCGTCATTAAAGTTATATAGTTCTTTTATATCTGAGATTTAATGTTTGTTCACTTTATTATTATTTTCACAGAAAACAAAGGACTGAAAAGATTATAATGTACCTTAAAGAAATTTCAAGAAATATTTTCGCTCTTGCAACTTTGCCCAGGCGTTTTAAATATAGCTCGCCCGGATAAGGGTTAAGTGGCAAATATTTGCTTCGATAAAGAAGGGCGGAAGCATTTGTTGAATTTTATTCATACGGTGTTTGCTCGTTAGAAAGTTTGCGCACCGCACAATTAAACCGGCTTTCTAAATCCGGTAAACTAATTTACTCACGTATACACGTTATCCACTTTGCAAATAGTCTTCTCCGGCACCGTCGTCCAGTTACTACTTGCCATTACTAACGCGTACGCGTTCATAAGTCCAAAGCCGAAACGCGAGTTGAACCAAAATCCAGCGGCGTTCTTAAACCATCCCGAGTTTCCCCTGGAAATTTATGCAATTATTACAGCTCACCGCGTGGGAAGAACTTACGGTGAACGTACTTAAACCAGAGAGAGGGAGGTCAAGACGAGAGAAATATATATTACTCTGCTTCACGTATCTCTTCAATTTCTTCTCCTTATTCAATTTTTCGTCACGATGAAAGTGTAATAACGCATACCGTATGCGTTGCGATATTTACATTATTCGCGAGGAGCTATGAAGATAAAACGATGGATTTTACAAGGAAGGATATTGCTGCATCAATGATTCAAATCGGTTATTCATCGAATGAAAATTAATCGTTCTTCAGCTTTAATTGTGAAATATCTCATCCGAGCGTGATATTCATGCGGATAAAATTACCCGCGATTAACACACTCGTATCATCGTGGGCGCAATATGTTCACCGCGAAAGTGATAGAGCGAGGGGAGAATAGAAGGAAAAATTTCGGTTATGAACGGACAAAAATATAGTATGGGTCCATCATCGTATCACGGTAGGTGTTGGCGACCGAATAGTTATTTTTCTCCCGCCACGGAACCCCGTGCATTCGAATGAATATTCGCTAAAAGAGTCATCGTTAAAAGAGAATTTCTCGTCGTGCGCGCGATTTATCGTGAAATCTCTGTTATTTGGGAACGAGACGAATTCTAACGCGAGTTACGTTGAAATCTTCCATGCCGATCGCATCGAGCGTTACTTTTCACGAAACGGAAGTCGAGGAGACTCGTTACCCGCGGCTTCCATCTGAATTACGATTCCACTTTGAAAACGATGTAGTGACCTACATTCCCGCCGGATGAGAATGATGCGGCGTTTCAAGCTAACGCGCTCGCGCGGATGCACGTGGCCTGAATTATTACTCGTGAGATGCACACCTGAGAGGACTATACTCCGATGACCAGGCCACCAGATGCTGAATATCCCTCCATGTCAAGTCGTCGCTTTAAAAATAAATAAAAGTCGTTAGTTCGCTCTTCAATATGCCGCGAAAATAACGTCCTTATTTCGGGCCACGGCTTAATCCGGGATAAATTGGCGCTCGATATATCGTGACCTGCTGGAGACGTGTATCGAATATTTTATATTTAACGATCTCACGTCTTGAAAAGCATTAAGTCCGAAGTTAACTGAGAAAGCCGTTAACGGCGGAAACACTGGCGTGGAAAGAGAGAAAGTTCCGAATACTCCTTTTCATCGACGGCGTGACTGAAAACAGAGGCAATCGAGGGATCGTACTTTACTTGCAGCGCGAGAGCCAGTATCCCGGCGGCTAATGGGGCTGAAGCTGAAGTACCCGTATGCCTGGTCGTACAAGTGTTTTTTAGGTCCGTTGTTGCCTATAAAGCGGAAATGGAAGCTATTGCATTATTCCACGCTTCGTTCCTCTTACAAGCGAGCCCTCTCTCATCGCAGGATGGCGATGATCGTCGCGTCGAATTCAAAATTGGATAATTTTCATCTTTCATATTTTCATTCAATTTGCTTTTTCCTTTATATCTGGTAAAGTAGAACGCTCACTATCATCTGATCGTGATAAGCGCCGCTGCTGTACGTCGTGGCGAGCGTGGCAGGACACCTTTCCCCGTACCAAGGAAACCTTCCAGTTTGACTGGCCGATCCAACAGCCACGGTGTATACACTCCCGACGTATCCGTCGCATGCACAGTCGTCCGATTTGGAACCGCCGTTTCCAGAAGCCCACACGTAAATGTTACCTTTACCATTACGACCCTGTGTGAAATATTCAAGTATTACGCAGAGTCACCATGAACGGAATCAGATAAAATCATTCATTCAGCGAAATCTTTATGCGAAAAGTATTAGCGAAACACAATTCATTAGGACCAACTGCGGGATGTGACCCCGCTTGAAATTCTTTCTTTTTTTATTCATTCGAGAAAATAAGGTGTGAAACGACAATTCCTCTGCCTACGTCGTGGTTGACCCTAAAATTCGTCCTAACGAATTAAGAAACAAAGTAGAGAAGATTTAAAAGTTTTCACGGTACACCGGGGAAGTATGATGGCGTCGTACAAAAGATGCCGGTATGCCAGTAGATTGAGTCTCTCCACCACGTTCATATTAATTTTATGAACGTCTTGCGAACATCTCTTTGAAGCCAGGGGTTCACGCCGATGAATGAGCTCGCTGGCGTAACAAAGTTCGCGATTGAAGATTGAAGGACTGGACTAGCACATTGCAGTTACGAGATTAGATCACTCCCGGCGTCTTGATACGTCTTTTCAATCTTCTTTCATTTCGATCAAGCATCCGGACGTGGAATTAATTTATTAACGCGAAAACAAGCCAATTACCGCCTCATTTACTTCGTCTCATCACTGTATGCGCGTGATTTGAAGCGAAATAAAATCGTATCGCATCGATAGAGTTAATTCGGCGGGGTGAAAAAAGCGTGAGAAAAGAAAGGATTTTCCAGTACCCGAGAGAGCGATCGACGGATCACTGCGGGAAATGGAGTTGAAGTTCAACTTGGTTAAAAGCTTTTTTAGGCATTAAATGACGAGGAAATCCGCTCCGCCTCGATGTAAAGTCAACTCACTTGACGTGATCCTATTACGTGGACCCACGGATACAAAAGTCACGTCTCTTTCTTTCCGGTGGGGAAAGAAAGCCGAGGAGAGAAAGAGATAAGATTGTTTCAATTAGGATCTCGCTCGAGTTCTCCGTGTCGAATTATATGTATTTACAGAGCGCCTCCTTTCCGCGAGATTTTTTCCCTAAGATATAAAGGGATAATTTGACAGCGGACTGACCTCCCTTACACCACGCTCGAGTGCTTCGATGGCGAGTCTACCGGGTGCCTCCAAACTTTTTCCATCATCCGCCGGTCCCCAGGAAGCCGTGTAGATGTCGACGAGCCCCGGTTTGTACCCCAGGGCCTCGCCTTCCACACGATCGTTCACCAGGCCGTCGAGGAGCTTGATGCCCCCGATGGACGCCTCGAAGGCGATACCGACTCCGCACTTCCGGTTGTTGGCCTCCATTGCTATTTCGCCGGCACACCTGGTACCGTGACCGTTCATCCCTGGGGAGTCGTTGAATTCGTAATGCTCGTGAAATAGTAATGTTCAATCGGGTCGCCGAGGAGAGGAAGCAGCAAGTACGGTGGGAACACGTAGGTATGACGCGTATTATTTGACTTTTAAATTCAAAGTACGAGTCATTTCATCCTATGCGGATGCGAGCGACGATCGGACGTAATTATGCTAGGCGAAACGCTTCTTACGAATGAAAAAATTGCATACATGCGCGTTTCTCTTTGTACGGAAATTCATTAAGGAATTCAAAGAGATGATTCGTTCCCTGAGATAATTGTACGAGATACCACGCGTTTGAAGAGCACTTTCGATTTTACATGTATTGCCGTGATAATAAAATTTACGAATTTCCATTTTATTTGCACGCGAACGCGCAGTGAGAACAAGGTTGTTTTGCATAATGGTTTTCACCATGCATCCAATCGCGATGATTATATTCCGAAAGAGTTAAATTTGTGGACGGAGCAGATGGTCGATCTGGTTTCACGCGAATTACATTAATACTGCCGCGTTAGCACTTTTATCATCGGATGAATTATTTACGAGACCTTATTGACCCCGAATCGTTCTTCGTAGTTACTACATTATTCGAAGGACCGAGCTGCGAATATCGATCTTATATTTGAACGTTTGTATGGAAAAAATGTGCCAATATCGGCAACAAGCGTGAGTTGTTACATTACGAAGTAATAAGTGGTGTTTTAATAGAGGCAGCGTATTTGTGTGGTTTGCAATAGCAGTCGGTAAAATGTCCTCCGAATATAAGAGTAATAATTTTTAACTTTAAAAGAGAGCGTCCCTCTCCCTCAAAACTATCACTATCGTCGGAAAATCTGCACGATAAGAAAGTTTTAAAGGGAGAGAGTTCTAAACTAATTTCATGACCGATTCGTCGGTGAGTTATGGTTCGAGTACATTACGTTAGTTTTACTCCTCGACAGTTTATCGCAATTTACTCGGGGATTTGACACATTTGCCTCTCACGTAATTTCCACAGTTTGGCCGATATATCGTGCAAGTTGCTATACGTGAATTGCACGCAACGCGATGTAATTATAACTATACGTGTATGGTCATGCGTATCTCATCTCTCGGATATCTTCTGTATTTTTGTGATTGAATCTAGGTTAACATTTCAAACATATGTATTTTGCTTAAATAATGTACGGAATAAATACGCCAAAATAGACGGCACGTCTCTGAATTTAACATGTGTGTAATTGTATATTATACCGTAAAAAAAAGGATACGTTAAGGTTTACCTGATACGTCGTATCTTGGAAAAGGATCGTCATCGCCCTCGTTTATGTCGTAACTAATGGCTGAATCCTAAGTTTAAATATTAAATTAATAATAATGGAAATTGATAATGGCAAATGTATGTAACGATATAATTTTCCACTTTACACATTATTTATAGAAAAACAATTTTTTTACTCATGAATCAAATCTTTTGTAAAATTACGATAAATTTGTGATAATATCGAGAGATTTATGTTTATTCTATATAAATATAGAATATCCATTTTTTCAATGTAATGTGTATAATAATAGAGAGAATAGTTTTTCCTGACTTAAAATGACTTTTTGAGTAACATGTTTCGTCATCTGTTGGACGAAGAGAAAATTCAAAGTACACGTTACGTACGTAGTTGTTTCGTAGATCATCGTGACTGTACTCTAAACCGTCGTCGAGAACAGCAATTCTTACCCCGCGACCAGTTATCCCTAGTCGATATAGAGGTAGGACGTTTAGATCGAGCTTCGGCAAAGCTTTATTCATCCTCGTGTCTTGCTACGGCAGTTGGTAAAGAAAATTCATTGATATTGCAAATAATAATAATCTATTTTATCGAGCACACTAGGTGTGCTGTAAAATTCGTGTGCCTAGTTGTCGGAAACATCGATATATTTGTCAAGTTTGCAATAAACTATAATAATAAATTGTGCATGTATTAATACACCAAATTATTCACGGTGCTTTCAATTCTCTTGTTGTATTTTATCGTCTATAAAATTTTAACATACGCAATTATTTTTTTAATAATTTTGATAAGATTTTACAAGATGATCCTTTTCGAGTTTGTAAATTCGGATGAGAACCTACAAAAGAGGGAGCCACTTTGTAATTCGCGCGTTAAAATATTTGCAATTTATAATTCTAAAATTTTCTGAACAATACATTGTCTCTTTTGTATAGATAATTAAAGATTTCGTAGTTTAGTCAATTTCATTTTTTTCGAAAATCGTTTCGTAATTATTATAATTTATGCGTTTAATTGATAACCCTGTAATGTAAAGTATCATTTTCTATACAATTGTCATGGAGAAATGTGTGATTACCAGATACCATTCCTGATCCCAAAGCTCGTCGTTAAACATCTTTGTCCTATGGGCAGAGCCGTAATTTTCTTCCTCGCTGTTAACGCCATTTAATGTAACTTCGTATGCGTTTAATTGCAGACGCTTCTCTCTCGTTAACGGTTTTTCAGACTCCAAGTCGGCTAACGAGATGTAATCGCGTTTAAGTCGTTTCACGGTTTTCTGTTGATCCGCCCAGACGATCTTTCCTCGACACACATACACAAGCGCGAATTGCGTTCAAGAAGTTGCAATTTTCTCACACGGTTTCGCAATACATACAAAATTATAATTATTGTTCGAGAAGTAAGGCATTTTTCGGCTTTACTCCTTATTTAAGTACATTTATTTATATGCTGACGTATGTGCAATTTAAACTAATCTGACTTTAGAAAGTGATTTTGGTATAGTTCACCACTCAATCTTACCTTGGAATTTGCATCAAGAGCCTTCGTTAAACGAAGATTTCCTCTCTTCTTTTGACTTGGATTAGAGTCCTTGAGCCATATATAAGTGTCCTTGAATCCGAGAACCTGAATGAGCAGATCCATTAGATGCAAATTTATGGGATAGGTGCCGGTAATATGCGCTGTTGCATGTTTAATGAACTTGGCACCGAATTGAGTCTTTATTTAAATTTTTGCTTAAATAAAGTATATTCTCGAAGCGCGGCGCCTGTTCCATTAACATTTCGCGGTTCACCTTCCGCTTCTCAGTATTCATCGGCTCTAACAGTTCGTTAGAACTACTTGAAATCGAAAGAATGTTTATTGATTAATTTGTATGAAAAATAATAATCGATGCGACACCTGTCGTCTGTTGCAACATTCAGCACGTCACATTTTACGCGCGATGATGTTAACCACCCTTCGGCCGAGGTAAGGGTGAGGATAGACGTCCCGACGTTTCGCCCTTCGAACGGCCGAAAGGGACGCTGCGATCAGGATAGCATACGAAAGCAGTTGGTAGGTCGACTCTTTTGGAGGGAACTATCGAAAGTCTAAATGGGGTATCGTAACGTTATTATTATCCGGTGTCACGTGGCCGGCTCGGCTTCGTTTTCGTACGGCATCCGTATGTCATGTTCCGCATGGCGTGGAAGAATATGGGAGGGAGGACCACCTGGTAGGGCACTGTGTGTCGTTCGAGGGGAAAGACTATGATATTTCCGTAACATCGGGCACGTGCCGCGCCTATTTCGAGATACCTCCTGACTTGCTGACCCTCCGCTTCCGGTAATCGCCGATACGCAGTATCTACGATGGATTTATTGACGTTTATATTGAGCAGAGATAAATAGATCAAACGAGCGACGTTTATACTACAAGCCGTTTAACGCGATATTTCTCGATGTCCCGTTGTTTACGCCGATACGTCTCTCTATACCGACAGAACAAAATCTGGTTAGTTTCACTACAATCGATTTTTTACAGGAATTTACTCCTTATGACAATGTTTTTTCTTGTTCTAACAAAAAAATAATATCAGGTTATTATTACTGCAGCGTAAAAATGCTTGCGACGAATAATAATTTCATTATGTAATTATAGTCATTCGACGGTTGTTTTTCCTCCGTATATTATTATGTACGGCAGAAATACAGAGTTTCTTTTCCTGCGGGAAAAGTACCGTGCTCTTGCGCAGATATAGATACGATATTAAATGCAATATAGTCGAATATCGCTGCAAGATCCGAGGAAATTCAGGACATTGGAGTTATGAAACAATAATCCTCCTTTCGTCTGTGCTATTCTCTTAATCCCGCGCAAAAATCCTCTAATCCACTATCTATCGCATCCGTTGTGTGCATCCGGTTGGAAGAAATAAATTTGATCGGCAAAATGCTTCGCCGAACTCGCTGATAAACTACTGAATATATTCGGTGGGGTATACACTTTTCAATATAACCGCGCACGAATGTTACACGTTTGCCTATTCGTGATCACGTACGCCGTACATGCCGCGTTAAGCATTTCAGATTTTACATCGCAATTTATGGATCAATAACAAATCCTCTCTATTTCCTGTGTACACGCACAAACTAGGTCTGTAAACGCACATGAATTTAATATTACAACACGCGCCGGTGTGATTCATCTGTTTTTAGTTTGACGTTGTGATTAATTCGCGGACAAGCATGGGATATCGCGGATTTCTCGTATAACTCTCTCAAGATCGCTAATAATGAAATTTCAAAGTTAGCCGAATCTTGCGTTCCGCCCGCCTCGAGGAAGAGTTCATTCGAGAAATCTCGATGCAATTTCCGCAAACTTCACCGTTGAGAAACCGTTGAGAAGAAGATTCTCGATCGCGAGCACGTGAACGTTTTCGATCGTCCTTCTATCGCGTCTACTTCAAGGTCACCGTTTTTAACGGGGGCGCGAATAGTGCCGAAGAGATAGAGCACGTTCCCGGGCGTGTCACGGGTACTTCTCTTAAATTCCACGTGGGAACACTTCAAACTCCAATTCGTCGACTACGTGATAATGGTTCTCTCCCTTCGGCCCCGTCGTAATCGGTAAGCACGGTGGTCCAAGTACCCCGGGAGGTGCTGCACGTGAGAGAAGCACGGAGGGAAAATCGGCCATTACTTCGCAATCAGCGAGCGACGAGGCGAGTATTACAATTATTACGGCGTGTGCTGTCATGATACTACATTGCTGGAATACCTCTCGCGGTAACGTAAACACAAGTTTACTCGATCTTTCATTCCCGATAAGATACGAGTCATCGCGTGAAACATAAAAGGGCGGATAGAAATCAAAGCCGGTCATTACTGCGCGATCGACGATCCGTTTTATCGGTATTCAGATTGCGCCTGCCGACTTTTAGGAGAACACCTCGGTATAGATACAGGAAAATCTCAAGTCGCTTGTAACCCCCTTCCGGCGGCGAGGGTGGAGATGAGAGAGAAAGGGCTTATTGGGAACGAGAGAGAGACCAAGTATTTTCGCAGTCCATTTGTTTTGATCGGATTTCCAACTGTCTCTCGTAATCCCGCACCCGTAAGCTCCCGCAGGCGTCGTCAGTTTCCAATGAAAACCCTAACGTTTCTGTCCTCTTCTCCCTACCGGAGCTTTGCCCGTCGTAGCTACCCTCGCGTCGTTTCCCGACCACACCTTCAACCTCTCTCTTCCCCTGGATTCCTGGACTCCCGGCGTTCCCGGTGTATTCTTCCCCGACTTTGCAGACCTATCGAGACGCCTATGATGTCTATGAATATTTGGAGCCGACTTTTCCCTAACGAAGAATCGATTGTTTATGAGTGACATGGGATTACTGAAAAGTCAAGGGTAAACGACCGTGATGTGCAAAATATATATTTTTCTTTCATGTAATTGCAAGCATATTTCACTTCACGGGACTTTTCATTATGTCAACATTCTAATATCGAAAATCCAGAAGTTGCGCAAAAAAAGATGGTGTTCGGTCAAGCTTTACTCAAGTCGATTCCAAGTTCACTCAAGTATCCGTTATCGAGAATTTAAAAGAAATACGCAACTCAAAGCGTTCGAAGGTATTATATCGATTTGTCTTTACTTAAATATCTGCGTTGGGAGTCCGCACGTATGAAATTCATGAGAGGGTGCATTCTAGATTACAACGGTCTCCATGTTTCATAGATTACCTTGAATATCGTATCTCGGCTACTTTGCTCACGTGGAAACAACTTGTGAAAAATCCAGATTGTATGTTTTAATAAATAAAGTCTCGATGCATACGAATAAGGTCAACTCTTTGCACTCCTGTAGGTCGAGTCCACTTCAACATCACAGCCTAGAAATTAGTCTCTTATATATTAACACTCGCGCACGCGCAGTATGTGTGTACCATTCGACATAAATGTATATATAATGTAAATACATTGTTGCGTGTTAGGTATCGAAATACTGAAGCAAATGCAAACGATGTTGCAAAGTAACCGGATTTTTGGATGGATCGGTTAAAAAAACAAAGAAACGTCGAAGAACCAAGCAAAGGGTTAAAATTAAAGCTTTGACTAAATGAGATAATTACAAGCAAGGAACAGTAATTACATGATGTAAAGGACTATTTGCGTAAACGTAGAGCGCAGCCTTCGGCGGGTATTGCGTTTGTAGTACAGGCCTTGTCTTATGTAAGTCGCACGTGTGAATACTGATGCATGTATCGCAGGTATGATTATGTACTCACCACGTATATGTACTGTTCGTATCACTTAGACGGAAGGTAGTACATAAATGCACCGAATGCAAGCGGGCGTAGATGCAAATATACACGATAAATGTCGTTTTTTCACCTGGATCACCAAATAACTTCCCCCCCCCCCCCCCCNTCACTCGTTGCTCGTGCATATATATAAATCGGACGTTTGATACGCTCCCGCGTGGAAAAGGAAGTTTGATCAGCAGTTTCTTATCTCCCAAGATGATCCTCTCTCTTGCGGCGGGAAGGAACATTTTTCCGCTTTTCATATTTAGCGTATTTTATTAACGCGCGTTTTTCATATTTACACATTTCTGCGAGGTTGAAGTGAAATTTATTGTAGTAATTCGTAAACCCATAAGGACTCAAGGTATCCCGTAAAATACTTCTGCTTTATGAATCGTATTGGAACAGAAGTTGAGGAATTTCGAATCGTGATACTTGAACGGAGAATTTTTCCCGCAATAACTGTGTGTGTGTGTGGCCGCCCATGACACACCGGTATATGTGTTACTCGGGATTACGCGATGTCTGGCACTTGCGGACTGCAAATTCAATTACATGCATTGAATTCAGCAGAGGGTAGAAGTTCCCGCTGCTCTGCGCGCAAGTTCACGTGCAGGTTCCCAAACTGGCAGAACTCACACTTTAGGCAAACGCTTATACAGCCGCAGTGATCTGTAGCGGTAAACAAAACTGAACTGACAATGATATTGTAAACTTAGTTATGTACGCATAAACAACACAAATCACATTGTTGACGCGAATCTTTTCGTAATTTAATGTCTCAAATCACCGATGCGAATGGTTGATTTTTCTCACCTTTTTTCTCCATTTTTTTCACCATTTTCTCACCTTTTTTCACCATTTTTCTCACTCTTTCTTTTTTTTTTCAAATTCGAGTTTACTCTGAGTTATTTACGCTGCTTTTAAAATGCAACGATTAATCCTAGACTTAATTTTACTTGTAATTAAATTTATAATTAACCCGTTGCATTGAAATAACATCTCCCAGATGTTGCGCTCTTGCGAGCTAAATGTATATGTTGTTAATTACAAACCTAACTTATTATTTCGTAATAATAACGAAATCCTTGAAATATTTTTGCTAGATTGTGTAAAATATGTAAATAAATCAAGTTGTAAAATTCTTTCGTCTAAGAGTCCGCCAATTAAATGTCACTACTACTATAAAGGATATATTAATATAATATATTAAGATATTATTATATATTATATATTAAGTTAATATATTAAGATATTATTTGTGTTTGTGGGTAATATCATAGCGGGTAATATTATAAAGAACGGAGTTAAGAAATGTAAAGAGGCAGATAAAGCATCAAACTTGGCAATCCCTGTAACAGTCAAACTATAGCGAGTGTATATAAGCAGGGAGAAATTGCATTAACGCGTTCGATCTTTGAAACTTCATCGTTCCGAAGTCGATATCGAAGTTAAAGTTTTAATTGAGATCAACGTTATAACCAGCATCACATGAATTTGATCAAAGAGCTCCAACTAGTTTCATACAGTCGATCTCACTCGACTGTTGAATCGATTAATGCTATAATGATTATAGATCGTAACCTTATGTTTAAAACGAACCATCTAACATCTAACAACTATATCGGCAAAAACAGTTTACGTAGATATTTTATAATAAATGAGAGGCCGGCGATACAAGTCGAAACTGTATCGTGCAAGTATGTGTAACAAATGTTATAAGTATATCTTAGAATTATAAGAGTTGAGCTTTAACAATGTTTGGAAAATAAAAAAAATCGAAGGGAAAATAAGCACGAAAATCAAAGCATTATTCGATAATTACGACTAAATGTACCTCTAATGTTTGCGCATTCAAATTATACGAGATACATAAATTACGTTAAAATTAGATCGCGATGAGTTATACGGGTCGCGCTCTAAAATATTTATTGAGTCGATTTTTCTCCCGCGTAACGATTCAGTCGAGGCTGGAATATCAGTGCGGCGGCTGTGCTCATGGATCCACCTTAAGATTAAATCTTTTTGGGGTCGATGGGGAAGAAGCGAACGAAGGCGGACAGTAAATCGCTGTGACATCTGTCAACCGATATAACGGGGAGTTCATTATAACGTTCAGCAGGGCGCCGTGTCATTTATTTCAATTATTGCCAAACGCTGAATCAGCAAACTACCATATCGATTCCGATAATTTACGAACGTGCATCATTAATACTCTTCGTGCTGGAGAAATCGTCTGAAAAAGCACTATCCCCATTACGTGTAAAATTTCTGTAGACCATAATCCTTTATCTGAATATATTTTTGTCTCACAGAGAGCTTTTCAGTTTTTTAATTATTATGCGACAACCAGTCTGTGTTATATAATATTCTTGGAATTAAATAAATTCCACCAGTTTGTGTTATATTATATTCATAGGATTAAATAAATTCTGCGAGACGTAATTTTTGTACACGTAAATATTTTGTAAATTTAGTACTATTCTTGCAAATTTTCACGCTTTTCAGATGAATAATATTGTAATAACACAACTTAGCATTTTTTTTAGAAGAAAGAGAGAGAGAGAGAGAGAGAGAGAGAGAGAGAGAGAGAGAGAGAGAGAGAGAGAGAGAGANAGGGAGCGATATACGAGAAACAGAAATATTTCTGCAAAAATTATTGGCACTTAGAATATTCAGTTGTTATAGATTTTATGAATAAAACATCGGCAAGTGTTCATAATATCAGATATGAATATGGATCTAGAAATTACCTGAACGAAATCTATTTACATCGTTCCAATTTGCTTCGTCGGCGATATATGTGTATATATACATATATATATGTCTTTGGAAATATATATGAGAATATAGTAAAATGTGAAATTCTCCGGACGAATCGCTCAGCGTCCAGATAAATAAAGTACCGCGTATGGCGAGGAGCAAGAATAACATCTGGTGTGCAAGACGCGCTAAACGAGAACGGGACTTGAGTGAAAATAAACAGCAGCGGTATGTTCGGTTCATCTGTACCGGACTCGCTCGTCGTTTCCTATTGTATCGTAGAATGTGGGTTACAACGATGTCGCGGGTACAATGAACGAGTTACCACCGCTGCGAACTGTAAGTTCACTCGAAACGCGCGCGAATTAATGCAGTCGATTGTTCAACAATGTACGGTTATAATCCACGAGACGCCCCATAAATCGCTAAAGGCCGCAAAGGCCCGTCAACTTGGCGTGCGCGCAATTAAATTCACATTCGGCCGCTTTTTTCCATCCGGTCTGTCGAGTGGGCTTAATTATATGAAATAATGATACGTCGGAGCCAGCGTAAAGGTAAGTCTCAGGTCTGCGGATTGCGGTAGACCGCGGCATGCCCTACTCCCTAGGCTGCAAGTGTCGTACTTGAAAACGCTACGCTTACGTAATTATGCCGCGTGAGATTCGTTCAGGAAGCGACGGCCGAAGCGTATAATACTGAAATGACAGTTTACGAATCTGTGATTTTATGTCTAATTTTATATCTCGCCCGCAAAATTGAAAAGATTGGGGCCCGTTGTAATGATAGCGACGTAACGTGGATCAATCGTTAGAATCCTAGATATAAATAGAGAAGATATAATTCGAGACTGACTCTCTTTCTCATCAAAAGGCGACATATTCGACGATTGAAAAATGGATGCTTTGCTATTGTTTTTGCATTTCTAAGGCATCCTTCTCTTAGTCAAGATCGATGATTCCGGGGCAAACGACGTATCGCAGGATCGATTGCACAGTATACTCGTCAAAGCCGGGAGGGAGGAGATACGATATCGTTCTTTTCACCGATGCTTTCGCTCTCGCGAGGCGAGGCGAGACGAGGCAAAACTCGTTGTGTAAAGTGCACGATAACTGCAGATACTATCGTTTGCGGGTTTAGACAGCAGTAGCTTACAACTACGATTTCCTTCTCGGTTTATCGTGTAGATTTGTACGAAAATGTCGCATCCGGATACTAGAAGTTGCAATTGCGATTCAAGTTAATGGACGATAAATACTTACGCCCGAGTGTAAATCTGCTCGCGGACATCTATGGTGCCGCGTTCGACGGTATTATAAGTTCATCGCGATACAAGGTATTGCTCGATTTAACGGGATTATCACTGGGAAAGGAGAGAGTATCGATGCTCTCTCCTAGATATTACGCACGGAGAAGCGCGGCGGTGCCCGTGGACGAAATTGTTCGTCAAAGGAAAGGGAAAAGATGTCGGCCTTTTCTCGCGTCGAATCCGCCACGGAGAAACTCCGTTTTGCGAAGTATTCGAAATCTGCGAGACGTCGGTGAAAACCACGCAGCGCGGCCCTTAACATCGACGGGAACGAAATGGCTCGTGAGGCTCGCTTACAGGGATAATCTCTTTGCGATCAGCTGTACAGTAGAGGGAACATCCAATGCATCGCGGTACATCCGAGAGACGACTTCGAAAAACGTTTTTACGCTCTCCGGTCAAACTCAACGCGGCGGAGTACAGGAGAGCGAATACTTTCAAAGACTCGGCCGGGCGAGGCGAAAATTCTTTCACCCGCACGCGGGACATCCTTTTTTCCCGTGTATTTGCGAGCTGAATGGGACCCACAGGGCGAAAACTTTTCACAGAAATTGGGATACTTTTTACAGCTTTCGTGGTACGCCACCGGCTCCTGGGATGGGATTCTTCTCCCTTGATATCCATACGTATTTCTACATACGTCTGCGCGAATATTTATTAATGCTTTCTCTTGTGGCTGGTATCGAAATTATCTGACATACCAAGACGTCTCTCTCTCTCTCTCTCTTTCTCTCTTATTGCGACAAAAGTTGCAAAAACATTTTTCCGCGAGAGAAACGATATTTTTTCATTGATAGGGGGAAAGTTATTTGTCCCGTGGAAATGCGTACTGTGTATTGGAAAAAAAACTGCAAAAGTCTGCGTGTGAAAGCTATTTTGAGATAAAGAATTGTGTTTATTTTATCGTGTTACTGTAAATTAAAAGAAATCAGTTCCTTCGCGCTCGACACTCGAGGAATGAGTTTGTCAAAGATATCTATAACTCTTTTAGAACTAAAGAAGGAGGGAGTGAGAGAGAGAGAGAGGGAGGGGGGAGGAGACAGACAATGGGATGCAATTAAAAGTTGAACAACTGCTTAATAAACTTATCGTTAGCCACTTGTGTGACGCCCAATTCTAGTTTAACTTTAATTCGGACTACGTCAGCATTGTAGCGTAACTTTCATGCTTCTTAGACTGCAAGGATTTCTTCAAGATAGTCAGACGACCTTAAAAAAAAGGATTCGAAAGAAAGAAGAATTTCTTGAGCGATTTTGAATCAATTTCTATCTAGTGAAATGATTGAAAAGAATGATTAAATGATAGGTATCGCGATTGAAAGTATCAAATGTTATTTCATAAATTCACGAATAATCCGAGATTGAAGAAAATGTTTTCCGCCCGCGTAACTGAGCGAATAATAGAAGCGACATATTTCTCCCCTCTTAAAAAATAATCCTCTCGATATCATAATACGGTCTGATGCGTGCCATATGTTACACGCGTAGCAGAATATCGTCGAGCGAGATAATCCGGGCAAAGTCGGCCTATTTTTAAGTATTCGCTAAACAGCGAGGCGCAACGAGGAATCACATATGAACCTCCTTCTCGCGAATTTTCTCATATCGCGTCGCGAATGTTACGATTGTATCTCGTCGTGACCCCGCTTCGTTGCGTCTTGCAATTTTGACGATATTATGAGAAAGGCGCAACTATATCTCGTTTGGATCGAATCAAATAGATGGATTTACCGGGCCATGGTGCTTGTAACCAGACTGCGCAGCCAATAGCGACGCCACTTGCGATCCACCTTGTACCCTGACGACCCACTCCTCGCGATGATCCACGTCGGCGTCGGCGATGAAATTCGATGCAGACACGACGACAACGAGCCGCATAATAACGCACACTCTGCGGAATAAGCGGAGGAGTTTCGGATATCACCGCGACTATTCTCTTTCGTACGTCCCCGAAGGAGGGAAGAAAGATAAAACCTTCCCGGTGTAAGCGGATTTCGCGCGGTAACGAATATATCAAGAATGCGCGATTGCCGTGGATGCAAAAGTATCGGGGATACGCGGGCGATACTTTTGCACTCGTATTTCCGTTCTCGCCGCATTTAATCCCCGCCTTCGGCTGATTACGAGTGAAATTAGCCGATAAAGCCGGCACTTAAAGAACTCTCGCGTATATATTTCCATCCGCGCGAAATACCTCCCTCAGACGGCGTATAGAATTGTGTCCTTATCGCTCTCGCAATTGCAATCGTTATCACGCCGTATGTTTCCACCGAAGACGTTCCGGCTGCAACGGCACATACCTGACCATCGTGGCGATACGCGCGCGGGGGAGGGAACGGAGAAATTGCGACGAACGTGCAATTAATACTTTCACCGCACCGCAGTCACTCCCGCAAGATCGTCCTTTTTCTCTTCGCCTTCTTCGCGACACTGCTCCCGCTTCCGTGCGTACTGTCTACGCGACTGGAAGGACAATGACGACGGAATTCGCCGGCTATTGGATCGCGAGTGACAAGTGATCGAACAGTGTGCGTGGCAATTAACTGTGATGTTCTTTTTGTCTGCAGGGGGAGTTTCTCTCGTCGTTCCCACTATGTCGGACGGAGGGGGTTGGAAGGGTAGCGGATTAAACTAAGCAAACAACGGATATAACGGACGCGCGTGGGACGGAACGAGCTCATGATAACGATTCGATTTCCATGGAAAGGAAAACCGTCCCGCAATATGATTCTATCGTCTCATCATTTTTTCACCGAAATCAAACGGATCTTTCTCGTTATTAAAAGCTTCTTGCGTGCGTCGCATCATTGCTGCAAAATTGTAATTGCGACTCTAATATCGCATTTTATTCTATATATATAAAATAGAATGTCTCTTCAATTTAAATTTCGTTGTGTCACTCGATTTTAGTTTCTATAATTGGAACAACTGAGAGTTCGAGAATGTATGGACGGATTAGAAAAAGAAGACAAGTGTGCGCCGGGCATAATCCCGGCGATAAAGTTCGTCGGCTGAACGACAACTGCCGATTGTCGAATGTGTGCGGCAATTAGCTGCGCTATTTTATCCCACCTAGAGAAAGGAAACTCTTGCCTTTTTATTCTTATCACTGTATCATATGCGAGGGAGATAAAGTCTGACGCAACAACCACGTCACTTTTTGATAAATGCATGCAAACACTAGCGTAAAGCAAACATTCGCATTTATCTGTGATCACCAAATGAAAAATCGATATACTTTAAAGTGTTATTTTTCAATAATTACACGTGACTCAAGAATCGGAATTTTATCCTCTTTGACATATTTCACCTTCTTCGAGGTGTGAATTAACATCGATAATTATGACAGTCGCAAAAGTTCATATCGTGTACAACAAATGTGTGCTATTGGGTCATTTTTTAAATCTTTGTAAATTTTTCGCTCCGTTTCTTTTCGACGACACGAAACTTGGCTGGCTCTCGAATCAAATGCATCAATTGCAGGGAATTATTGAGCTTCGTCGTTGAATTCCCACTACCGACCCGACGTAACTGGACGTATCTTCGCTGAATTTAATGAGAATTTGGATCGACATCGTTTGAAAGGAGAAGGCATTCGTTGTCGAGCCCCTCGAGAGTGAGCCCGCCGAGGAGAATGGCGTGCGGCAATTTTCTTGGGGAGGGGGGGGGGAATCATTCCGAGCCATTGCCCCACGAAATGGGTTAGTTGCGATGTAATTGAGACACGAAATAACAGCATCAAACAGATGTTTTACGTCGCTCCATTTCTTCGCCATAATTTCATTGTTCAATCCCACCGACATTTATAATGTCAAAATTAATCGCGTCGAAATTCAACTTGCGTGCAAGCTTCTCTCTTTAGTGTCTGGTAAATTCCGATAATTTACTTCATACACACACAATCTTTCGATGAACGTCCCATTAAAGTACGCGGAATTTGAAAGCGATTAACACCCGTTTCCGTCAGGCATTTGCATTGCGAATGAAATTCCTTGGCTCCATGTCATACGAGATATATGTGCAGAAAAAGCTCAATTCTGCCTTTGTGTTAGTCGCGCGAGTTATTTATAACTCGCGAGCCGATTATATAACGTGTTTCTCTCGTATCGGCGCGTCATCGTTTCTGTTATTCGCGGGAAATAGCACGTGAATCTTGCTTCATTTCGCCTCGAGTTAACGTTGAAGTAGAAGCACACTTCGCGGGTTACTCCCGGCGTAGCGTAACACGTAAGCGCATTTAGATGCGGATTACCATTAAGTAAACGCGATTTAACTTTCGGGGAGAACCCGGGACGCGTCCCGTTTAATCGATCCGCGTGTGCTCGATTCATTTTACCAGCGCATCGTCGGCTGATTAACATCCGCGTACGCTTCATTCTGATTTGTTCCATTTTCGCGGGAGGGTAACTTGGCAATTACGAACGGCCGGTTAAATGCCGTTATGCAGCCCCGACTGTGTAATTACGTACCGAGTGTACTTCCGTATGGATTTAACGTTGATACGGAATTTCACTCGCATATTGCTTGCCCCGCCGGTTTCCGGTGCTGGCCGTCGCCTCGTGGGAACCTTCCACATACAATTTAAACTGTCCACCAAATCCATTTAGGACGGACTGCGTCACTTGGAGCTAAGTCAATTTCCTTTCTCTCTGCCGTTGGGGATCCATGCAAAAAATGACTGACGTCTCTCAGTTAACGAGCTCTCTTCCATATATCGATGATCCGCGCAACACACCTCTGAACTTGCCGAGAGATGGTCCTTCGTTACATATGATGCTTCGAACTATCGTACAATGTCATGCTTGGAATTATGTTTATAAAAGTAAGTATGCAAAACTATTGATCTTTCTTGTTCGCGGAGCTGATATTTTTACTTGCAATATCATGCCTCGCGCGAGTAACTTGACGAGGACTTTGAAGCATCTCAAGCCAAAGCGTTTCCTTATACGAACGACAACGCGGCATACAAATCCGCGTAATTGAAATACGAGCGTGGTCGGGCGGGTAAGAGCCGTTTTACAGTTTTCGGTCGGCGGAACGACTCCACTTTGTCGTTCTCCCGAGGGTAATGCTTATAAATAAATTCGGTCCTTTTTTACTGTCTGTCCCTGAGATAGATATACACGCGGAGACACGCGGAGGGCGGCCGATAAAAGCAGAGAGCCGTCGTAAAGCTCGCAGGAGAAAGAGACGGGACTATCCGCCGATAAAAGGGACTCGTTTCGCTTCAGCTCACGTCGAATTTGGGATAAATCCGTGCTGCCCGCCCTTCCCCCGTCAATCTTGCACGTGTTCTCTTACTCTCTCCCTTCCTCTTTCTTACGCAAATTTCCCCTCCAAAGAACAAGAGAATTACGACGGCGTAACTTCTGTTTTTTTTATCGACACTTTTTGGTAAGGAAACCGCACTTAAAACGACGATCTCGCTCCTCGAGCGCTTATGCGAAAACTTGAACGATTGCGCGGCGAATGACACATCGAATCCTCTCTTCTATCTCTTTTATCGGAAACGATGACGGCGTTTTCATCGTGTGCGTCCGTTACATTTTGTTAACACTGTCCCTTACGACGTCTTGTCGGCGCTGTAATTTTATATCTAAGTGCTAATTGCGTTGCGTTTCGTCATTTTACTTTAATAACAGCAAAGTTGAAAACTTTGTGCGAAATTGCGGGGTATGCAGTAATTTTGCGATTTAACGAGTGAAACGTATATAACCTCGCTCGCGCATTAGTTTCGTGTTAGTGCGCCCCCTCGGACAGTTTTCAGATAATTTCATTACAATAGTTATCGGAAGTTTGTATCGCATTAGGCAGCTCTCTCTCTCTCTCTCTCTCCGGGCCTTTTCGCACGCTCACGTACCTACGTAAAACTTTTGCAAGTCATTGATACGAAAACCGAAATCGGACGCGGTGTTTGGCGTGCGGAAAGAAAGAAATGTTTTCAAGTATCTGAAAGTGACAGGTGGCGCTAACGCGGATAAACTTTTTCAAGAGTATGATGAATCGCTCGGCGATGAAGGTATGTAAACGATAACGCTCTTTATTCGAAGAAATTTTTTGCAAACGCGTCGCAAAATCTCTCTGGTCAATCGTATGTGCGCGTGGTTTCACGCCGATATGAAATAATGAGGCATGAGAACAGTCGCGAGATTTACAATCCGCGTTTGTTTTTACAAAGACGACGGGAAGTGCGGAGGAAAGGTTATATGGAGAGGAAGGAAGATGAAGGAGAGAGCACGCGCGCGCGAACTAGACTAGGGGGAGGAAGTAGGAACGTTTATTAAGCACTCCGTCGGCTTTCGTCACAAATTCCTCCCCGGCCGTCGAAATAGAACGCGAAAGTAACCGTGGAAAATTGGAAACTTTCCGCGCGATAAAATCGGACTTAATTTTCAATAAATTCACCTTCTACGGAGCGCGCGCTCCCGTACGTGGTTCGACGCCGGGCGGGGAAGTAATTTACTTGGTAATTATAAAGTTACTAGCTCCGGCGACGCGCATAGTTGTGAATATTCAAATGCGATTACATCTATGATCGTATAAATTATACGGCCGCTTGGCCCTGTTGCCTTCTGCATTTCGGTACTTTCGCTATAACACTCGTGAAAACTTGAGCGTAAACGGCATCGCCTGAAAGGAAACGCCGGACGTTTCACGGTCGTAAGCCGATAAAATTCGCCATTTCGCACGTACGAGCGGAGGAGGGGAGAAAAAATTGGCAAGATCAGTACGATAAAAACGATATGTTATTGCATCGGTCGCCTTTTTATTGCACAAAGTTAAGCTGCCAGTCAAGTTTTTTCCCTCGGAAAAATTTCGGCAGCGAGCCGAGGAGACGTATCGTGAGTTTCTTGCCCGATAAATCTCGCGCCTAACATTCGTGATTTTCGTCAAATCGGAATCCTCGAGGAACGAGCGCCTCCGATCAGGATATAATTACGAGATTAGCTCCTCAAAGGAAGAAGAACGTACGAACAATTGTCGCAAGTGTTTTCCGGAGTGATAATAGGGAGGCAACGTTGGCAAAATAATCATCGTTTCTTGTCCGGCGTGAAGAATACCAACCGTGCATTCTGTTTCACGAGATAAGGCTGCGCTCGGGAAACAGGTAGGTACTTACTTGCGTTATCTCTATCGAATAATTAAGAATTGTTTAATTGCCAGCGGAACTCCTTATCGCGCAGTCGAAAGAGAATTCAACTCATAAATCTCGCGCGAGCCTTCAGATAAATCCTTATCCCGCGTGTTTAATATTTAAAGCTCTCATCCGTAATTATGTCTGACACGAACAATAATGATATCTAAATGTTTGTCGAATTCGCAACAAGTCCACCTCGCTCTTTCGTGCTCATGCCGGACGAAATTAACGTCAGTGTTAACTTCTCGCGCAGAACAATTCGGACAAATTTATTTCGCTGTGTATTTTTCGCTCTCGTCGTTATGGACACTACGAAATTCACGTTTGAAGTCCGTACATCGTTTCGAAATAGAGCGATTCGCTCCTCTTTTTTTTCGATACGCGCTTCAAAATAATCGTATCTGTTTCTTGTCCGT